TTAAATTCCTAATATATATGTATATATATAAGCATGTTATCTTATTTATTTTTAAAATAAAAATTAACAAAGTAATGTGAAAACTGATTTAAACGCTTTTCTTGCTATTTTTTTGTTTTCCATTGTAACTTACGGATGTGTAAAAAAATGTGTGTGCGCGTAAATTATATATAAAAAATTGTTTTGATATTCCACAATATTGTAAAAACATATATTATATATAAGCATTCTTGCAACGTGCATTTTGCAACCGCATTCCGCGAATAAAGTGTTTCTTTGCAATATTTCATTTTTTTGTTTTGCTGCAGAATTATACTGATTAAAATAATGAAAAGATATGATTCTTAGAAATTAGAATCTTTCAATGTGCAAACTCATTGAAAGATATATTTCATGTATAAAAACTCGTTATCTAAGTCGCAGTGCATAAATTTTATTTATGCACATGTGCTTGCGAGAATGTACTCGAATAAAATTTATAAAATTATAAGCGCGTAAATTAAATGTTTTTTGCGTGTGCACTTTCGGTCGTTGAGATATTATATTGAGGTGTTGCTGGTTCAACAGTACCTCACGTGTAAAGACGTAAACACACTCCTCTTGGTAATCATAATATCTTGTAAGTGTTTCTTGTATTTTCTCGCTGACGACATTTATATACAGGGTGTCCGACAATTACTTTAACATCTCTCGTAGACAGGTAGAAGAAGTAAAACTAAGTCGAAAAGTCCCGAACCATTGTTTTCTATTACATATAATAAAGGAGTAATTATTGAACAAATCAAGCCAATCAGCGCCGATCTTTAGCCGGGCTCACGTCAGTGAGCCGCGCGGAGCGCTCACGCACACCAGAAGTGTGGTTCACTGACGGCTAAAGGTCGGCGCTGATTGGCTTGATTTATTCAATAATTACTCCTTTATTATATGTAATAGAAAAAAATGGTTCAGGACTTTTCGACTCAGTTTTACTCCTTCTATCTGCCTACGAGAGATTAAAGTAATTGTCGGACACCCTGTATATCGAGCATAAACTCACGCGGACGCCTTGAAAAGATCTAGACTAAAAGAATCTTATTCTCTCTCTCTCTCTCTCTTTTTTTTTCTCTCTCTCTCTTGCAATATTAACATATGCACTTCTTCCACGTGACCGTGGCATGTTTCTAATGAGATAATAAATCACTTCACACTTGATAACTCTTAAAACGATGAAAGTTTTTTTTTTTTTATGTGCTCGTGATGCAATCAATTCAAATAAAATGAAGAAATATACTAGACAATATAAATGTATTAATAGTGTGTCACGCGATAATGTGACTGTCGTAAGTTAAGCGTATTCTTGTTCTTGTTTAATCAAGTGCAGAGAGAGAGAGAGAAAGAGAGAGAGCGAGAAGGGATAAAAATTATTCAGACGACCGTTGTATTATGTCTTCTTGAACAATATTTTTGACGTTCATTCTTTAATTCCATTTGTTTACACGACCATGAGCCTCGTCTCTCTCACTCGGACGTGCCCCCTGACTTCCTATCAGGCCGCGTACAAGATATCTGGAATCTCATGTTTTTTCTCGTCTGGCGACGATAAAACGGTGTCGTACGATTTCTCCCCGGTCGCGCGGCTACCAATTTTACCAGCCGCGATAATGACAGCCGCGTTAATATATTCATCAGTGTAGAGAAACATAATTTTCCCCACGCGACGCGACATTATCCCCGCTGCTCCAGTTCGACGTCGACCTTGACAGTAGACTCTTTTTTTCAATTCTTTATTGGTCAATTTTTATTTCCTTAATTCTCACTTTTCTTGTTTGTTTGTTTGTTTCTTCGCGTGTTTCTGCGATCTTTTAGCGTTACGTTCAAGAAATAAAAAAACTGCGACGTACCCCAGTTCACAGGTGATACGTTTCTGCACACGGGCATATTCCGCTCATTGAAACGCGTGCGTCAAACGCTCTGTTTTTTTTTCTCTCTCTTCACTTATTCGAGTAAAAAAAATATACCTGCGAGCGACAATACTGATAAAGAAAGGCACCGATCGTCTTGTGAACTCCACCGAACTATCTACGTGTCAGAGGCTTTAGCCATCAAAGGTCGTTATCGCGCGGAAGGTTATCGTTGTTGGATTTTTTTAAAAGGCGGGGATATGAGATTTTTGTATGCTGGTTAGCTTCACTTGGAAGTCAGTTTCGTCGAAGACCCCGTACGTTGACAGCGTCCGCTCTCTGATGTCGGTTTATCTATCGGCGCTTCCTTCAGCATCCGCTTGAATTTCTATCCGGGGTGCCGAAGGATTTCTGATCGCTGATTCCTCGCCGCTCGATTTTTCTCGCACGTCCGACGGGTGAGAAAAACGTCCTCCTCTGAACAAACTTATTGTCGGGGGTGCAACCGACAATACGCGTCTTTCTTCTATTTTTTTTTTTTTTTTAATATATTTTTCGGATCTTTCATTCTCGAGCGATTCGATTTTTCGAGGATGACAATCTCGGTGACCGACGCGGCGCTCGACATGGAAAAGAAGGCGATGAAACGTTGCACTCGACGCAGTCCTTTTCGCAGCTGGCTCGCTTGGACGTTCTGCGGTATGTTTCTGACGAGCATCACGGGTTTCTACGTGTTCTGGTACACCAATGTTTTCGCAAACTACGTGTCGTCGTTTCTGGTGCTGCGGAACGGCACCCGCAGCTTCGACTGGTGGGTACGACCGCCCATGAAATTTATGTACAAACTCCACGTGTTCAATTACACGAACGTGGACGAGTTCGAGGCCGGCAACGCGAGCAAGCTGCACGTCCAGGACCTCGGCCCGTACATTTACGAGGAGAGTTTGGAGCGCGTGAACGTGACCATGCACGATGAAAACGGCACGGTGACCTATCAGGAGAGGAGATCCTACAAGTGGGTAGGCGGTAGACCGGAAACGGACAGCGTCACGGTACCGAACGTGCTGTTGTTCTTCGCCACAGCGATGATACGAAATCTGAATTTCGGAGTGCGCTTAGTTACCAACAGTGTGTTGTTGACTCTGCAAGAGAAGCCGTTTGTCAAAGTGACGGCCGGCGGTTTCTTATGGGGATACGAGACCAAACTGTTCGATATGGCGAAGCCGCTCATGCAACTCCAGCGAGATATACCGTTTGACAAATTCGGTCTGCTGGCTAAGGTACGTGTCAAACACTGCGATTAGGCGTAAAAAAAAAATTCTGTAGCACAAACAAAAAAGAGAAAAGAATTCGTTTCGCATGCGCTCTTTTTTGTTTGAAAATAAAACTTAACCCCTCAACGACGACGGGAGTCATTTTGACCCCAGCGAAATTTCAAATATCTTCTATTCGTTTTTTTTTGTATTTGAATTTTTTTAACGATTTAAACTAATAATATATGAATATAAGGACATGAAGAGCCGTTCGCAGGATGTTGTGCGTAAATGTGAGAATATATATGTATATATATATGAATGCATATATACAGGGTGTCCCAGAATTGCCGTACAATCCTCGTAGACAGGTAGAAGGAGTAAAACTGAGTCGAAAAGTCCTGAACTATTTTTTTCTATTATTTATAATAAAGGAGTAATTATTGAGTAAATCAGGCCAATCAGCGCAGACCTTTAGCCAGGCGCACGTCAGTGAGCCGCGCGCCTGGTGTGTGTAAGCGCTCACTGACGTGTGCCTGGCTAAAGGTCTGCGCTGATTGGCCTGATTTACTCAATAATTATTTTTTTATTATAAATAATATAAAAAAATAGTTCAGGACTTTTCAACTCAGTTTTACTCCTTCTACCTGCCTATGAGAGATTGTACGGCAATTCTGGGACACTCTGTATATATATATATATGTATTCACGTGTAATATTTTTCACGTGAGTTTTTTGGAATTGAAATAACAATTCTTTAAATCAAATATAATGCTAATATTGCATCTTATATATGCAGGGTCCTCAATACTCCCTTAACTAATTTTAAAATATTGCAAAAAAATTTTTTTTTTTAACCATGTTAAAGTTAATTTTTCATATTTCCAATAATTTTCTTCTTATTTTTAACACCGCAAAGATCTTACTTAATTTTTTTCAGCTTAAAAGAATAAACAGCGTCTTTGCGGTAGCTGTTTAAAGTCGCGGGGGTGATTTTGACCCAGTGTGTAGTTTAATTCTCATTGGAATCGTCGCAGAAGAATCCGATAAATTGCAGAAGTTACCACAATTTTTATAAAAATCCTGTAATGGTTAATTACTTTTTTTCTTTTTCACTTGTTTTTTTAAAAAAAAGTTTGTGCGACTAAAACAAACACTATTTTATCTATTTTGCATTCACGTGCTCCGATCAAGTGTTTTATTTTTAAACTAATGAATGAATTAAATTCGGGTTTAAGCCGTTTTGCAGGATGTTGTGCAGAGAATGTGCTTAAATATATATATATATATATATATGCATACACATATATTTAACTAAATAATTTTTTTCCTCCATATAGGATGCTGGATTTGCATCACGTATATATGAAGGACTCCGCATACTCCCCTAACTAATTTTAAAATTCTCTGCACAACATTCTGCAAAACGGCTCAAACAATCCGAATTTAATTCATTCATTAGTTTAAAGACTTCCGAGCCTCGAAGAATCTTATTCTTCTTCATTATTAATTTGTTTTATTTTTATTTCGGAAGACGGTTTTGGAAGAGTAGTTGAGAATATCTAAACCACACACACTCACACACACGCGCGCGCGGCGGTGTCTCGGTGTTAAACCGACAATGAGATGTTAATTTTTTTCCTACGCAAGATTTCGTATTTCCTCGATCGTGTGATTAACGGAGAGCCGCGCAATTTTGTCTTGATTGCAGAAAAAAGCCATTGACAAAGATCGCATCATGATACACACGGGATTGCGAGAGATCAACAATCTCGGTATGATCGATCGACTGAACGGAGAAGAAAACCGGGACATTTGGGGTGACGAGCGATGCGACAGAATTAGCGGCAGCGACAGCAACCTGTTCCCACCCAATTCATTCGCAAACACAAACAAACCCATCTACATATATTCCAAGGATCTTTGCGTGAAGCTACCCTTCCGGTTTTCCGAAGAAACGACCGTTTACGACTTACCGTGTTTAACGTAATAATTAGTTTTTTTAAGCAAGCATGTTTTTATGCAAAGATAATCGAATTATATTTGTATTATATAAAAAACTTCGACACTGTTGAACCGAAACTCCCGTTTTTCTCACGTGGGATTTTGTTTCTCAGGTACAAAATGGAACCGTTAAATTATTCGCAACCTGAAAATCATTGTTTCTGTCCGAAAACGGACGACGGATCGAGAATCTGTCCGCCCGCCGGACTCTTGAACATCTCCTCGTGCATCTTCAATTCGCCCTTGCTCTCGTCGTTCCCGCATTTTTACAACGCCGACGAGTCCCTGTTGGAACAAGTAGACGGATTGAATCCTCAACAAAAGATTCATGAAAGCTACATAAATATACATCCGGTACGTTTCCTCGCTACTACGCCCCAGATAGCCAACTGAGTGCGAGTTGTTGGCAACTTTACCGCAAATATTGCTCATAAGTTTTCAGCAATGTAACAAAATGAGTGTATCCTCTTTTCTTTGTATGTTCTTGCCAGCAACAGTTCCCCACTTGCCAGCAAGTTCCCAACAACTCATCGGCAATAAAAACTTATATTATTTTTCTCAATTTACGAATAAAAATCATTGCTCACATATTGCTGACTCACTTGTCATAAACGTTGGCTACAACAATTGATTGACAATAAAACTCAGCATATTGATGACTGAATTGATAAAAACATTTTCGTTGCATTGAAGAAAAACAACACAACAGTAAGTGGCAAGCAACTAAATCTATACAATGATTTGCTTTATATTGAGTTTTCACATTTGGCTATCTGGGTACGATTCAACGGCGCTCTCTCTTACATATTGTATTCTATTACAAACAAGATAAAAGTAATTTTTTTGTTTTTTTTGTGTGTGTGTGTGTGCAGCGCTTTGGATTAGCAATCGCCGGTTGGTCGAGGCTTCAAGTGAATCTGGACGTGCGAAAAGCGACAGGCACCTTCATCGGCAGGCTGAAGGACGGTCAGATTCTGCCGCTTATCTGGATCGAGAACGGATTGGACGAACTGCCGGACACCGTGTTGAACGAGTTGAAAACGTCGCACGTTACTACGGTCGTTGTGGAAAAGATCTTACAATGGTCCGCTCTTACGGGCATGATAATTTCTCTGATCGCGCTGATCTTTTATTTCTGGAAGTATCGCGCGGGAATGGACGAGAAGATAATCGAAAAGAACACGTCCGGTCGGCACCCTCTCCTTCGATTGTTGTAATCGAACGAGAGACGTGTGAGAAAACGCGAATTTCGAGATAATACGAGATTATCTAAAAAATATTGGAGAGAAATCCTCTTGAAATTTGTTCCAGCTGTGTTTCTTACAGATCGAGTTCTCGGAGGTTTTCATATCTCACGCAAATATCAACATTCAATTGAGGTACTTGACTCGAACATGTCAGTACCCGCACGAACACAAATGTGTTCCGCAATTTTGCGGCAAGATTGCAGCGTGAATTCTAACTAATATTCGCGCGAATAGAATTTACAATACTTCAAGTAACATTAACAATTGCGCGTGATTAATGTAACGTGTGTGTGCGTGTGTGTGTGTGTGTGTGTGTGTGTGTGTGTGCAATGCGAAAGAAGTGTTGAGATAAAAAGATCACATGATGAAGAACGTGTAAAGTTTACGGGAATAGATTGGTAGTTTCACACGTATTATGTTGCACCATGACAAGAAGAAGAAGAAGAAGAAAGGTCACGCCTTGCAAGTCTGTGATTGAGATTTTATCGAAATAAATGGTACACTTTACGTCGACACGGTCGCAATTTGGTACGTGCAATTTTTGGTACCATCACTTTCGTCGTGTTATTAATGAACAATTGCCGTGACGGTACGTTCACATACAGCGATATATTGTACACATGTTCGTATCATGTTATCGACGATAATAGATGATAGTACTTAATTAAGTGGTAACATGTCGGGAGTACGTATTACATACGATCGATTTAATTAACAAGCGCGGGGTTAAACGGTTTCTCGACGGGTAACACAAAGATTGAAGAATGTAGATTTTAAGATTAACGGACGGACATGGGTCGTTTTCGTCTGGAGCAGAATTACTTTCTGAAGAAAGTAATTTTTCTTGTTGTCATATTTGCTAAAAATTCTGAATTAAAACTTTTTTTTCCCTAAATTTAATGATGGTGTCTTACAATAGACAGTTTCAAGAGTATATACACATTGTTTCAGATTTTTTTAGAAGACGAAAACGACCCATGTCCTGCGAATTAAGGTGCCGAAACACACGCCGTCCGTTGATGATTAAGTTGAACCTTTGTGTCTGTGCGAGTTTTCGAATTTTTCTCGAATCGCGAACTCGCGATGTTATTTAAAAGACATATATATAACAACTTCTTTTTGTTTTTTAAAAAAAACATTCAAAGAATAAAAAAAGTATCCGCTCTGTGTACTCTCTTCGCTTGATAGTTGGACATTTGATTTATAAAGACTACTCGTAAGTACATAAATAATTGTATATCTATGTATATAAAAAAATGCGTGTATATATATTTCACTATGTATTGTAAATTTACAATTCTAAACTTTATTTCAATAAATAAAATATTACAGGTTGTAAATAATTCTCGGCACAGTTGTGTAATAAATTTTTATTTTTGGCGTTTTTACAGAAAAAGAGAGAGAGAGAGAATCTCTCTCACAATTTGTTTATCGTTGATATTACTTTTCTACAGATGCTGTCTATCACGATCGTAATTTATTCTTCACAAACTAAATTACAATCGCGCGACATACTTAAATCATTTTACATTTTACACTCGACTAATATATATTCTAGATTATTTATTTGTGTGTGTATTAAATGTTTTTTTTGCAAAAATACGTGCGTCTTACACACTGACAATCCTTTTTAGTGTGTGCTCAAGAGAGTAGAAAAAAAAGAGATTCTCATTCTCTCATACAAAGATAAAACTCGACGTTTTCGCATTTTTGATGAAAAAAAAATATTTTTTTCTGCGTTTTAGCACACACAGTATACACACACACACATACATACACATACACGCACACACGTATCAGCAATTATTGCGTGCGCAGATGATAACACGATAACATTGCACGTAACATAACATTTGCGTATCGCAAACGCGTCGACATCGTACGATTTTGATGTGGAAATGTAACATTTAGTAAACATCAAATCAATATTTCGTCATTGCAAATCGTGTATATCTGCCATGTAATAATTCTCTTTTCTCACATCCGTTTTCTGATTTTTCAATCTCGCTCAACGCTTNTAAAAGAGCGCGTTCAAAGAGTTTCTTCAATTTTGTATTTATATTCTCCCGATAGAATAAAAGAGAAGAATCGCTGAAAACATAGTCTCCCACATTTCTCTTTCGTTAAATTAAAGTTTGAATTAAAATCGACATCCTTTGCTTCTTCTTTCAAATTTTCTTTGCGCACGCAATTAAATGTTAGTGTGTCGGAACAGTTTATATAACTACTCAACGCTGAGACATCGGTGATCTAATTTCCTCGTGCATATTCATTTACCATCTTTTGATTTTCACCGTAGAAAAGTGTAATTTGTGTTTTCCCTCTCGCGTTAGATTTCTAAAAATTATAATTTACATCTCTAATAAAAAAAAATATGTAATATATGTCTTTTACTTGTAATACAATAATAATAATAATAATAATAATAATAATAATGATAAAATAGTAATACATGTACAAACGAACAACGAGGAATAGTACTCTGGTAATTACAATCGGTTCGCGATAACTGCCAAGTTCTTTATATACATATAGAAAACAATTCTGTTGTTTTTACGTTTTAACTATTATTGCTGCGATACACGTGCGATATCTCTGGTTGCACAAACTCCCAC